CTCTGGCTGTCAATCAGAGAGCCGGTCCTGTTAATTCCTGGTTTGGTTAGCTCAGTGCAGCTAAACCCAAGAGGCAGCAATTGTCCAGAGCACCTGCCTCGCAAAGACTTCTCATTGAGCTGCATTGAGAAGTCTGTGATTGGACAGTCACAGTAAGTCTGGGGGGAGTTAGAAGGGAAGGGCTTGCAAAGACAGCAGACAAGAGATCTGCATTTTTGCTAGCTGTTTTTAAATATACCTCCAATGAAATAAATCACAATTAAATGCATGCAAGTTTTTGGGGGGAATATATATACTAGGAAATGATCAGTTATTTTGTATTTGAACAGTGCAGTGCCCCTTTAAACAGCTTTATATAATAAGAGAATTACCTGCTTGTGTTATCACACCGATAAATAATCACAAAGTACAATATATCATGCAGGCTGTAGATGCCAAACACCTTGACATTACTTATAAAGACATCTGCAAACACCAGGAAGTTACCATGGAAACAGAATACTGGATTCTCTGTCAATGAAAACCTGCTGGGTTCTACAGTCATGTCAATGTCATTAATTGAATTTCTCATTTAAGGTCACATTAAAGGACCACTATAGTGCAAGGAAAACATACTCGTTTTCCTGGCACTATAGTGCCCTGAGGGTGCCCCCACCCTCAGGGTCCCACTCCCATGGCGCTGAAGGGGGAGGAAGGGGTTAATCCCTTACCTTTTTTCCCCAGCGCCGGGCTCACTCTGCGCTGGGACTCTCCTCCCTCTTCTGACATCCCTGGCTGAATGCGCATGCGCAGCAAGAGCTGCGCGCGCATTCAGCCAGTCTAAAAGGAATACATTCTCAGTGCTTTCCTATGGATGCTGGCATCTTCTCACTGTGAAAATCACAGTGAGAAGCGCCTCTAGCAGCTGTCAATGAGACAGCCACTAGAGGCTGGATTAACCCATACAGCAAAAAGGGTTAAACCTAGCTGGACCTGGCACCCAGACCACTTCATTAAGCTGAATTGTCTGGGTGCCTATAGTGGTCCTTTAACCAAATTGTAACAATTCTCTCAGTCCTGTGTATTTACAGTTTAGCTATATTGACCTAATATTTTACATTTGCCAACAGAGGGCCGGTGGAGGGAATTAATGGTAAATAAAGAGATTGCTGGGTCCGACAGCTTACAGACTATTTAATAAAATTATGAATGTCAGGAGTACAGAAACAGGAGGTGGAGCCCAGAGCAACCATGTCTTGTTAATATCTTGAGATAACATCAGAAAAATATTACAATTATATGGCCTCTCTGGGCTTCTGTGGGAGGTAGCTAAAGGGAGCTTACAATCGGAGTGAATTTCAAATTTTAAAATAGAAAATTCACTTTCAATTCCCCACAATTCACACTACTGTCTAGAGTGAAAGGTATCTACACAGGGGTATCTGAAATGGGGATGATACATTCTTACACCATCTATCCTGGCACATCTCCCAACATGTCACATGGTGATAGAGGGGCACTGGGACTGCTGTTACCAGAAATTTGAGGTGACTTACTAATAACTTAATTTATACAATTAAATGTAATTTATAACAAGAACAACGTATCTTATTTACACAGACTGATTTCTAAACACATTTATTGTAGTTTAAAGACACATTACTGAGAGTATTATTGCTGTGGAGCTCTGTTATACACTCAGACACATCAACAATATTAGAGGAGCCCCTATGAACAAGAAGACTCAGAATAGGGAACACAGCTACAAAAATTACCATTATGTAACCAACTCCTGATAAACACAATTTGATTAACCCTGTAATCACTGAGCAAAACAAGGATTAATGCTGGGACTGAAACAGGAAATGCAGGGCACTGAGTAGCACTGAGAATGTACAGTCAGGAAACTGAACCTTGTATTGATTATTATTAATTGGAGGATGGGCAGAGATTAAACCTGCTCTCACCTGGCAAAGGCTGCAGGGAATTGGAGTCTTCATCCAGCAGGAAACAGTGTATCTCTGTGACCATATAGAACACTGCTGGCAATGGGGCTAAATGTCAGACCATAAGGAAGAGAGGCATGACGGGAGATGTAGTTCTACTTATGAGGAGCCCCTCCCCGGGAATATGGCACCAGGAGCAGAGGCATGACGGGAATTGTAGTTCGTTTTTAGCATTGCACGTTTTAAAGGGACAAAAATAATGTGTTGCAGTAAAGATGTAATCCAAATTATTACTGTATGAGTTAATGGAAACATATACATAATGTCTTCATTGTAGTCTTCATTATTACTGTGTAAGGTAAAGGAAACATACGTGATGGGAGCTGTAATCCTTATTAATAATGTTTAAGCTAAAGGAAACACATACATGATGGGAATTGTAGTCCTCATTATCACTGTATCAGTTAAAGGAAACAGAAACATGATAGAGTTGTAGTCCTCACTATTACTGTATGAGTTCAAGGGAACGGCTGCATGATGGGAGTTGTAGTCCTCATTATTACTGTGTGAGTTAAAAGGGACAGCTTCATGATGGGAGTTGTAATCCTCATTATTACTCTTTTAGGTAAATGGAACAGATACATGATGGGAGTTGTAGTCCACATAATTACTGTATAAGGTAAAGGAAACAGATACATGATGGGAGCTGTAGTCATTACTATTGTATGAGTTAAAGGAAACAGCTACATGTTGGGAGTTGTAGTACTCATTACTACTGCATTAATTAAAGGAAACACACATAATGGGAATTGTAGTCCTCATTATTACTGTATAAGGTAAAATAAACAGATACAGAGTGGGGGTTGTAGTCCTCATTATTACTGTATAAGGTAATATAAACAGATACAGAGTGGGAGTTGTAGTCCTCATTATTACTGTATAAGGTAAAATAAACAGATACAGAGTGGGAGTTGTAGTCCTCATTATTGCGGTATGCATTAAAGGGAAAAGATACATTGTGGGAGTTGTAGTCCTCTTTATTGCTGTGTCAGTAAAGGGAACATATGCATGATGGGGATTGCAGTCCTCATTGCTGTGTCAGTTAAAGGGAACATGCTCATGATGGGAGTTGTAGTCATCATTATTTCTGTATGAGTTAAAGGTAGCATATGGATGATGGGAGTTGTAGTCCATTTGCTATATTACTGAGCTGTAAAGCAACAGATGTATGCCAGGTGCTATAGTCCTCATATATACAATACAGGCATACCCCACTTTTAAATACACAATGGGACCAGAGCATGTATGTAAAACGAATATGTACTTAAAGTGAAGCAATACATTTTTTCACTTCCCAATGAATGTACTGCATTGCAATAGTCATTTACAGGCATAAGTGATACTGCAACTGCAGATCTCCAGTGATTTATTTAGTGATTTCCAGTGGGCTTTTATTCAGTTAAAACAAACAGTAAAAAGAAAAATCTCATTCCATATTGTACCATTTATATTTAAAGGACCACTCTAGGCACCCAGACCACTTTAGCTTAATGAAGTGGTCTGGGTGCCAGGTCCCTCTAGGATTAACCCTTTTTCAGAGAAACTGCTATGTTTATAAATGGGTTAATCCAGCCTCTAAAGCGACAGCCGCTAGAGGCATTTGCGTGCTTCTCACTGTGAAAATCACAGTGAGAAGTCGCCAGCGTCCATAGGAAAGCATTATAAATGCTTTCCTATGAGACTGGCTGAATGCGCGCGCAGCTCCTGCCGCGCATGCGCATTCAGCTGAAGAGGAGGATCAGAGGCGGAGAGGAGGAGGAGAGCTCCCCGCCTGGCGCTGGAAAAAAGGTAAGATTTAACCCTTTCCTCTCACCAGAGCCCGGCGGGAGGGGACCCTGAGGGTGGGGGCACCCTCAGGGCATTATAGTGCCAGGAAAACGAGTATGTTTTCCTGGCACTATAGTGGTCCTTTAATGTTTTACTCATCTGACAACCTTAAACTAGGAGGAAAAGTAAAATAAACCTGCCCACTGGCCATTTTCTGTCAATACAGTGCCAATCTGTATTTGTTAGCAGCTTCGGTGCACACTTTGTTTAGAAACACCTCTTCATCACTTTTTAGAATTTATGGTTTTACTTTCAATCTTCAGAACTGTGGCTAATGCAGCTATGCTGTTAAGTCATAGTTATAGAAAATGGCAGGGTAAACCCTTTCACTGGAAGGCGCCAATTGCAGAAAAGGCAGAAGAAAAATACATATGTTCAGCTAGGAGTAAATATTTGTGATGATTAACCTGTGCCATGTCAGAAGGTGTGAAAAGTTGTTGCCCCAAAGACACTGAACTGAGCTGCACCGGGCGAGAATAGAACCTTACATTTCCTGTTCACTCGCGGACAGAAGAGGTGCGGGTATGTCTGTACTCGCGATGTACTCGCGATTGTACTTAAAGTGAGTGTATATAAAGTAGAGGGTATGCCTGTAGATGGGATTTCCATACTGTGCAATGCTCTGTTTGAATTCTGTATACAGTATTCAGATAAAAGGAATAATGGACAATTAACTCCTTTTAGGATGAAGTCATTTGGGCAGAGGATCTCATTATTATAAATGATGGAATATATTTAGGAAACAAATCAAACATACCTTCCAATTGACCTGAGTTTGTGTAGACAGTCTTGAATAAAGGCATGCAGAATTTTTCCAGAGTAGATATTTTGACGATTCAAATTTCAGTATGCTGCAGTTCAGATTTGAGTAAATAAACGTCTAAATAATCTTTAGATTGTAAGCTCTTAAAGCAAGGCCCTCACTACCTCTTCAAACTTGCCTTTTGGTATTTACTTGTATGCCTTGTAATGCGCTTCATAGATAATAATAAAATAATACATTTGACAGACAGCCTAGCGGAACCTATGTCTCACCAATGTTGCCAATGCTGATTCTACTTTGGTCAAACTACTGCTTCTGTTTGTTGCATACCACTGTACATGTCACTGTCTACCACTCAAACACAAATAAAGAATGTTAAAAAAAAATAAAAAAATTTGACAAACAGGCTGAAACGAGATGCTTTAAAGATTTACTGGATTCAGCGTGTCAGGGGTTAGAAGAGGTCGTGGTTTTCAGCCTTTGACCCCAGTTCAATAATGTGAAGTATTCCTATAACTTACACTCCTTTTTTATTCTCAGTATTTGTTTTTTTGCCGGAAAACTCAATTTCTCATCATTATGGTTATTTGGCAAAATCTGTGTAAAAAAATGGAAACGTCCCAACTCTGAGGAACACAATATCTTTTCCTTTTATGGGCCGTCTGCTGCATTGTTATAAATTCTTACTGTTTAAATTAACCGCTTCATTATATTGTGTAACTTGTTTGTTGCTAATTAAAGACACAAAGTAAATACATTTAATCAGAAAAAAACAAGTTCTGACATTACAACAAGGCTTTAAAATTATAAAATCATTGTTGGTTAAGCAACGTAATTATAAATTCTCTATAGAGAGCATCTCCATATTCTATAAATGTTAAAATAATTAACTATTTACCCCATCATTGTCACACGACAACCAAACAAAGCTGTATTCCTAACAGTATAGTCTTTCTGCCACCACAGCCTCCCCAGGCAATGAAAAGATTAAATAACCCAATTTCTACGTCATTGTAAGGGGAGCCTAATGCGCATGCACACATTGGGCCTTTCCCGTAGTAAAGTATCGAATTAACTAACAGTCACTCAGACACTGACAGCCCCTCAGATACTGACAGTCACACAGACATTGACAGTCACACAGACACTAATAGTCAGACATACACTGACTGACACTCAGACACTGACAGTCACACTGTGGCAAACCTAGCCACTCGGACTATAACTGGACACTATGCCTTTAAGGGTTGCCTATAGGTCTGGAGAGAGATGCATTGTACCTGTATGTGCCTGCTTCATGTATTCCCTGCATTGCCTGTACCTATCTGTTCCGCCGAATGCAAATGGCGGTTTGTATGGGGATTCCCGTTCGTTTCGCGAACGGCACTTTGGAGGGCCGTTCGTGAAACGAATGCGATACCCCCTAATAGCCCACACACTTAGAGGCGTGTGGCGCTAGTTAACCGATTGCAACATTGTTGCAATCGGTTATTAGAGGCTCTCCTGGGTGGCCGTCGTTCGACTACCGACCATGCGGCGGGCGGCCATCTTGGATCCCTGGTTCGTCAGCGGGTCCGTGTCGTCGAACGCATAGCATTCCCAACAGTTATTCGACGGCACGAACACCGTTAAGCCTCCAGGACGTTCGGGAGTTTCAGGACCAGGTTCACTAAAGACAATCGGTTCTTTTCATGTGTTTTGAAAGAAAGGTGTTTTCTGTGCGGCGTTCGGTTATTTTAGCTGGGATCTGAGCGGCAATCTCACGAATGATGCGCCCAGACCCCAGCTATCTACCGAACGTCCATTCGTGTAAATCCACCGTATATTGTACCAGCTGTGGATTTTTGTGTGAATTGCCGGTTCTGCTGCACGAGGGGATAATCCCCTTAACGGTGCATTCTGGGAGGATGATCCCTCTCGTGCAGCGGGGCCTGCTGGGAGAAATATGTAGTACTGTAAGTCCCCCATGTAGTCCCCTCCTGTACAACCCCTGTAATGTCTGTTTGGAAACCCCTTGCATGGGGAATTGCATAAATACTGTGACCTGTGATTAAAACCTCAGTTGACTCCCAGCCTATGTGTCGTCTAGTTCTTGGGAAGGAAGGGTTACTGCAGTGCTGTTTGGATTATTAGATGCTGATTCCCTGGATTATCCTTGTTGTTCCTGTTACCCAGCGGAGATATCGTGGATCATACTGCCTCTCCGCTACACACACATACAGGGCCGCCATCAGGGCATGACAACCGTGACAATTGTCACGGGCCCGGCGGCCCTGGGGGGCCCGGCCGCCCGGGCCCCACGTGGATCAGCGGAACTGCCGCCGGTGCATCTGCACCGGGGCCCACACGCTGATGGGGCCCATCAGGTTGCCCCAATCATTTAGGGCCACCCAATGGGCCCTATTATCTTCAGGGGCCCGTTTAGCGCTGTAATAGCGCGACCGGGCCCCTTTAAAAAAAAAAATGCAGCCGGAAGCAAGTGCTGCTGGGAGGAAGTGACGTCCGGTCACTTCCTCCCACTTTACTCCGCGCGGGAAGGAGGACGCAGCCTGAAGAGAGGCAGCCGATGCCCATCATCCCCAGCCACCCTCCTGCGACGAAATGGTAAGGAAGAGAGGAGGGTGGCTGGGGAGGAAGTGTATGTGTGTATGAATGCCAGTGTCTGTGTGTGTGTATGCTGGTGTGTGTATGCCAGTGTGTGTATGCCAGTGTGTGTAATGCCAGTGTATGAATGCCAGTGTATGTGTGTTTATGTATGCCAGTGTGTGTATGCCAGTGTATGTGTGTGTATGCCAGTGTCTGAATGCCAGTGTATGTGTGTCTGAATGCCAGTGTGTGTATGCCAGTGTGTGTATGCCAGTGTGTGTGTGTATGTGTGTGTATGCCAGTGTGTATGAATGCCAGTGTATGTGTGTCTGCCAGTGTGTGTATGCCAGTGTATGTGTGTGTATGCTGGTGTATGAATGCCAGTGTATGTGTGTGTGTGTATGCCAGTGTCTGAATGCCAGTGTATGTGTGTCTGAATGCCAGTGTGTGGATGCCAGTGTGTATGAATGCCAGTGTATGTGTGTGTATGCTGGTGTATGAATGACAGTGTATGTGTGTGTATGCCAGTGTCTGAATGCCAGTGTATGTGTATGTATGCCAGTGTGTGTATGCCATTGTGTATGCCAGTGTATGTGTGTGCCAGTGTGTATGCCGGTGTATGAATGCCAGTGTATGCCAGTGTGTGTATGCCAGTGTGTGGATGCCAGTGTATGTGTATGTATGTATGCCAGTGTATGAATGCCAGTGTGTGTGTATGCCAGTGCATGTGTGTATGTATGCCCATGTATGCCAGTGTATGTGTGTGTGTATGTATGCCAGTGCGTGTATGCCAGTGTGTGTCTGTATGCATGCCTGTGTGTGTCTGTATGTATGTATGTATGCCTGTCGGTATGTATGTATATATCAATATGCAGTATGTATATGTATGTTTGTCAGTATGTATGTCTGCTTGTATATGTGTGTGTGTCTCAGCATCTCCCTATGCATGTGTGTATGTCTGTTTCAGTATTTGTATCTGTTAGTGTGTGTGTATTCCTGTGGGCGGGATTTGGAGGCAGGCTTGAAGGGGGGCCCAGACCTTGAGCTGTGTTAGGGGCCCCAAAATTTCTGATGGCGGCCCTGCACACATACACTAAAAGTCGCTCAGACATGGACAGTTACACAGACACTAACAGACGCAGATACAGTCACTCAGACACAGTCACAGAGACACTGACAGTCACACAAACACCACCAGTCACTCAGACAGCCAGGGAGGCTTTCTTCTGCTTCCATTATCCCTGCAGAGCATACCGAAGCAGCAGACACATTATGTTAGATAGTACCTGCCTCCAATAAAAGCTGGCACCCAAATAGTTCTTGCTACTATTGAGCCACTGAAGACTTTGCTAACTCTGGTTTGAGTGAACACCTACATGGGCTGTTTCCTTCAATAGAAATAATAGTTGACTTGGATGGTTTTTTTTTTAATTCACCTGTTTCGGTCTAAAATTTGAAATTTCCTTTGAATTCGATTTTTACTCCCAACAATTCACAATCCCCACCACGCTTTAAATCTCAATAACCAAACTAATCCATTTTATACACAAAGAGGGCAAGTGAAGGGTTAATGCGGATCCTCTGAAGCGCAGACTGCGCTGTGACCTGTTAATCATTTCCTGTCGGTGTAAATGTCGGTTTGTTAGTGAATCAAAGCTGTAATCTGTCCCCTTAATATTCCATGTTTGCTCGCGAGGTCGCTGACATCCCTGTAGATAACGATGATGAGAAATTAAACGGTTGCGGGATCCTTTGCTGCCACTCATGGAAGATTCATGAGAATAACCCGTATCACACCATCCCATGGCAACCGAAGGGTATTTTTGATCTTTTATTAGATTTTAGTAAATGACCATCCTAACTTTACTAAGGTCTCAATGAACTTTCAAATTGCAAAAATGTAATAATATCAGTACTGGACCCCAAATCACAATTTCACAATTGTGACGACATTCACAATTGAGACCACATTCAGATGCATTGTTTTGACTTGTGATTGACTTGTTTACATTTGAATAATGTTCTTTCTCTGTCTAAATTGTTTCTGTATGTAAAAATCTTTATTAACAAAAACAACAGAAAAAAATGAACTCACATAAACAAAAACGTAAATTCACTGTTTATGATCTAATTCGCTGTTTATCATGTTATCATTATGAAATATTCATTTTGTGAGGGGTTACTTAGTTTTCCCCCCCATTCTATTAAATGACAATCTGTGTGTTTTGAGAGTCGATAAGTGTTTTTGGTGACCGGAGGTGCGTTTATCCCCTAGAACAGTGATGGCGAACCTGTGGCACGCTGAGCCCTCTCTGTTGGGGTGGGGGAGAAGCTAGCGCAGGTCAGCAGCAATTCAGAGTGTGCACCTGTAGGCCCAAAATGGCAGGTGCCTACTCTGCTCTCGCACCGTGCTTACTCGGAGGCAGGTGAAGGGATCTGGGTAGCAGATCACTCCTCCTGCGAGCAGGCTGTGTGGAGCGTTGTCGTCTGTTACAATGGCAACGCTCCACACAGCGTTCTGCGCGCGGGAGGACAGAAGAGCTGCAGCCAGAACCTACAGAGAACTTTCCACCACCAGAGCACCAGGGCTGGCTGTGTCACCCCCTCCTTCACCAAAGGTAAGAAGAAGGTGGGGGGATAAATTTTAGATCGCTTTTAATCATGTATAGGTCAGGATTATAAAAAACAAAAATAAACACATTTGCTAAACAAAACAAAATAAACACCCCCATCCACACAGCACCCTCCACACACACAGCACCTCCCCCCACACACACAGTACCCCTTAGACACACACACAGCACCCCTCACACACACACACAGCACTCCTCACACACAGCACCCCTTAGACACACACACAGCACCCCTCACACACACACACACACTCCACACCTGTACACACAAACACATACACTGCACCCCTCAATGTCTGTGTGTGTGTGTGTGTGTATTCAGCAGTCTGTGTGTGTTTGTGGGTATGTATTCAGCAGACTGTGTGTATGTACTCAGCAGTCTGTCTGTGTGTACTCAGCATTCTGTGTGTGTATTCAGCAGTCTGTCTGTATGTGTATTCAGCAGTGTGTGTATTCAGCAGTTTGTGTGTATTCAGCGGACTGTGTGTACGTATACAGCAGTCTGTGTGTGTGTATTCAGCGGACTGTGTGCATGTATTCAGCAGTCTGTGTGTGTGTATTCAGCGGACTGTGTGCATGTATTCAGCGGACTGTGTGTATGTATGCAGCGGACTGTGTGTATGTATTCAGCAGTCTGTGTGTGTATTCAGCAGACTGTGTATATGTATTCAGCGGTCTGTGTGTATGTATTCAGCGGACTGTGTGCATGTATTCAGCGGACTGTGTGTACGTATTCAGCAGTCTGTGTGTATGTATTCAGCAGTCTGTGTGTATGTATTCAGCGGAAAGTGTGCATGTATTCAGCGGACTGTGTGTATGTATTCAGCGGTCTGTATGTATTCAGCAGTCTGTGTGTATGTATTCAGCGGTCTGTGTGTATGTATTCAGCAGTCTGTGTGTGTGTATTCAGCGGTCTGTATGTATTCAGCAGTCTATGAGTATGTATTCAGCGGACTGTGTGTATGTATTCAGCGGTCTGTGTGTATGTATTCAGCAGTCTGTGTGTATTCAGCGGTCTGTATGTATTCAGCAGTCTATGTGTATGTATTCAGCGGACTGTGTGTATGTATTCAGCGGACTGTGTGTATGTATTCAGCGGACTGTGTGCATGTATTCAGCGGTCTGTGTGTACTCAGCAGTCTGTCTGTGTGTATTCAGGTTTAATTGCTGTGTTGGCACTTTGAGGAAAACAAAATTGGCATGTATTGCGGTTTGGGCACTTGGGCTCAAAAAGGTTCGCCATCACTGCCCTAGAAGATGGAATGGATTGGGTAATATTTTGGCTCTTTGTGGAAATTTCCTCTATTTCGTTTCTTGTTTCAGGCTGCTGACATTTAAGGCACGTGCTTTGTTTTACATTTTTACTGGTCACAGATGATTCTTTGTCAGTCCACATGGAAAATGTCAGGAAATAGCTGGACTCCCGCAGCGCAGAATTTAAAGCATTTTACAGTGTTCTATACAAGGCAACATATTTATTGTCTCCTGCAGAATGTTCTGAATGACAAACAAAGGCTGTAGAATTATACACAGATATTTTGTAGAACAATCTAGATGGTTCTGTGTATTTTGTGACGAGCTTTTTGCAGATTGCTTCAGATAGCTCTAAATGTTTTTATAACCAGCACGAGGCAAGGGGATGCAGGTTGCCCAGCATACAGGTAAAATGTCCAGTTTTGAAGCAACAGAGGTAACAAGATGACAGCTGGACTAGACGTGGCCGTACTAGACTTTGGACACTTTAGTGAGCCACTTCTCTGTGAATTGATTGAGTTGGAAGCCACATGACAGGGGAACAAGCATTAAATTATTGGAAAAAAAGGTGAATGAAAACAGAACACTTTCTGTAGAGTTCTGGGGTCGAGATATCTTGAAATTGATGGAGGAGGCTATTTGGAGATATACTTTGTTGAGTATTAGAGGTGCACTTAGAAAATAACAGCTACCCTTGGTATCCCATATGTTTCTAAACTACATTTCCCATGATACTTTGCCTGCTCCCGATGTCCTCTCAGGTTTCTGCCACTGGAGGGTCATAGATAGAATGATAGTGGAGCCATGATTTCAAGATATTGGCGTGCTGCAGTGTAGCAGTGAACGTAACGCAATATACTTAGAACAAATAGTATGTACAGTACATTTTACTCCAAAATAGTCAGAATGAGTTAACTGAATAAGCTCCAAAATGTTTGCGCTGATCAATATTTGTGTATTTCTTAAAACATGTAAAGGTACACCGTAGGCACCATAACTTCGTCAATGATTTAAGTTGTTATGGTGCATCACTAAATAGTAGAGATGCTCTATACCAGGCAGACGGCAACCTGGCGGAGTTGAAGTGGACGGTGATGGCTCTGTCTCTGCCATTTCGTCAATGGAGGCTGGGTCGCAGACTGCTGGAGACCGCAAGTTGTTATGGTGCTTACAGTATTCTATTAATTCCAGCAGCACCCTAGTTAAGAAAATACCCATCATACTGTGATAACAGTAATAACAGGCAGTAATGATTTGGAGGTAAAAGTATTAATGTGAATATATATGTTTTAATTATCTATAAGATGGTATCAAACTGAGCCCCTCTTATGCATCTAAATTGAAGGGTATATAATGAAAGGCATATCGCTGTTGATATATTTACAACCTTTTTATATTACACAATCTGTTACGCATTTTGTAGGAATAAAAGATTTAGAAATACTAACAAAAAATATTTTCAAAGTAAATGTGTAAGATTCTCAGGAAGGAAAACTCCCACATTGTGACAAAAAAAACCAAACGAAAATGCAATAAATACTCTGCAAAAATTCAGTTTACAGCTTAGACCTAAGCTAAACAAATAAACATCGGACACTGGGACACTTTTCATGATAACAAAACAGATATCTAGATCAGTTTTCCAATAATCCAACATGTCTTCCTCGACATTCATCTCTTCTACGGGATGATAGGCTGGACATGAAAAATGCTCCCCTGCTGCAATGCTTCAGAAGGAAAAATCTACCACTGCTTTTTAGATTATTATTATTTCTATTATTATCGTAATTTATATAGCGCCAACATAGCAGCCCTTTACAATATTATAACGGGGGAAATTTAACAATGCTACAGGAACAATAGGTTGATGGGAACCCTGCTCAAAAGAGCTTAGATGTCAATACTGGTTCTACTTAAAGGAACACTATAGTCACCTAAATTACTTTAGCTAAATAAAGCAGTTTTAGTGTATAGATCATTCCCCTGCAATTCCACTGCTCAATTCTCTGTCATTTAGGAGTTATATCACTTTGTTTCTGTTTATGTAGCCCTAGCCACACCTCCCCTGGCTATGATTGACAGAGCCTGCATGAAAAAAAAACTGGTTTCACTTTCAATCAGATGTAATTTACCTTAAATAATTGTATCTTAATCTCTAAATTGAACTTTAATCACATACAGGAGGCTCTTGCTGGGTCAAGCAAGCTATTAACATAGCAGGGGATAAGAAAATCTTAATTAAACAGAACTTGTAATAAAGAAAGCCTAAATAGGGCTCTCTTTACAGGAAGTGTTTCTGGAAGGCTGTGCAAGTCACATGCAGGGAGGTGTGACTAGGGTTCATAAACAAAGGGATTTAACTCCTAAATGGCAGAGGATTGAGCAGTGAGGCTGCAGGGGCATGTTCTTTACACCAAAACTGCTTCATTAAGCTAAAGTTGTTCAGGTGACTATAGTGTCTCTTTAAGGCAGGGCAGCCATGTCCTCTCCATTATCCAGAAGAAGGGAGAGGTGTCCTTCAAAATGTGGTGGTTCTGGCAGTCTTAATCTGTGCAGGTGGATGGTCTGGGTAAAGACAGCTGGACTAGCAAAACGTGTCAGGGAATTGTCCATGCCTTATTTCATTCAACGTAAGAGGTCGAACCCAATTGATATGTTCAGTAAATTCAGTAATTTTTCCATATCAGTTCACTATAATTTGGAGTTTGGTGCATCATTTTAACAACATGTTGACACATTTATTTAATATAGTTTAATCTGTTTTTGTTTTTTAATCCTATTCATTTTGGTAATAATTTATGTGAGGTTCTTTCCCTCTAATATTTCATTGTAGCCATTCTATAATGAAAGACACATTTTAATAAACTCCTATAAACACATGGAAAACCATCAAACCAGGAGATAAAATCTACAGATTATTTTCTAAACTGTGAATTATAGCGACAGAAAACAAGTGCAAAATGTAGGTAAAATTTGTTTATTTGGAAAAAATCCCCAACCTTGCTGTAATTGCAACTCAACTTTTTTAGCCTGAATTTTGAAATTTGGTTTTCGATTCACTGCAATTTGATGTTTTCTGAAGAAACCTCAGAACAAATTAAAAATTTACTACAAATTTGAGGCCTCAGTAGTTGTATCAGAAAAACACATCTACCAGTCAGCTATGCGTTCATTTCAACTGGTTTGCCCTAACATTTGAATTATGATTTAAATTCCTGGCAATTTACATGTTTGGGGATACACCCCACAAAACTTTATTACATTCTCTGCACCAGAGGTGAGAGCTCAGCCCCAGGGAGATAAAGATGGGGAGGGATACAAAGTCCAGAATTGGGGCAGAATGAATAAGAATCCACTTCCTGGATATAAAACCAGGAATCTACAGTAACTTCACAGTAGGAAATGCTCCAGGAATGCCAAGATAAATAGCCAGACTATCTCCGCTTCTTAGAATCTGCGCATACTGCACGCAAAGCGCTCACACTGATCTGAACTCGAAATTATTAACCCAAATATAACCAGAATAGAAATATGCCCAGGGTGTAAACGTTAATCCAATACAATAATTCCTGGCATTATGAAACGGATACCACTGTAATCAGGCGCACTTGAAATAATCCAATCACAAAACCCAAAGTATTGGGGCATCTCGCAATACATGTTTTATTGGACGATGAGCTTTCAAGTTCGGTTTGAACAGGATCTTGTTATAATGAGAAACTGCAACAAGTGATGTTTTGTTAGCATTTATAAAGTAACAACTTGTGTTTTTTTTATTTTGTAAATTACTCTGCACTTTTTTTTTAAAATTCTTTATTTTATCGTGCATATAGATTACATAGATACGAGCAATGCCACAACAGCTATTGCCAGCCAAGTGATGGACAAGTAAACAATTGTAAGGCACTTAATAACATTGCACATTTTGTAATATTTTATGAGACTGACTATGCATAACATGAGTAAACTCTATATAGTAACTAAATTGGACAGTAGATTCGAAAAGTGGAAAGTATTTAGCGCAGGCAGGATAGGATGTCCTAAGGCAGGATAATGTCCTAGGACATTATTGTGAGTTTGACATGTGATGGTGTCTGAGTGGTAGTACCTCGCTCAGTGTGGCGGGTCAGGCATATATGCTGGTTTGTTAATCGCCATTTGCCTGAATTTGTTGTGTAAGTATATGTTGTGGTGGTAGTTGCCTATGCAGTTGTGCTAAACATTTAAAACGAGTTTGCATCTATAAAGAAACTTAAAAACGACAGATAAGAAATGAAAAATAAAAATAAGAAAAATGCATGAGAGGCTGTGCGAACAGACAGTTTCGATTTCTTGCGTTGGGAGTGGATGTTCTCGGCTACAGGGCCGCGGGCCAGACTGTTGCCCGGTAAGAGAAAAAGGTAGGAGAGTGTCCTGGTTTTGTTAGTCCTGTTTCAGGTTGTGGCAACCGCATATGGCCCTGCGGGGGGTTGTCGTGGCACAACCACTGGTGCTTCAGCCGCGTTTCTCCTTAGGCTACCTTCATTTTCAGCGGGCGGATTCATGGTGGCCAGTTTTAGGTCAGTCAATGCCTTAGTGGCCTCTTGTAAGTCCCGCACAACCAGAGGGCCGTTTGCGCCATCTATGTGTAGAGCACGGCCTGGGCCCCAGCGGTACCTGGTTTGTCTCAAGAAGGTTGTAAGCTGTCTGAGGGATCTTCTCCATTTCAGCGTCCCACTTGATAAATCTGCATAAAATGACAGGGTCATGTCTTCGAAGATGTAAGTTGTTAGGCCCTTGGTGGCTTCTAGGACGGCCTTCTTATCCCTTGCGTTTTGAAAACGGAGGATTATGTCCCCTGTGGCAGCCAGAGGTGCTGTAGCTGGCCGTTGGATTTGGCCACTTTCAGAGTTAGGAGCGCGGGCAGCAGCCACCTGGTGTAGTGTGGGAGCTCGGCCTCAGGTACAGAGTCTGCTACCCCTGTTAGTTTAAAGTTGTTTTTACGTCACTTGTCCAATTGTCCTGTGCAGCTAGTTGCTGGTCATGGAGTGATGCTAGTTGTTTTAGGTTGCGAACTGCCGCTTGCAGCTTCTCTATCTGGCATGTGTGGCCGTTGGAGGTGCATTCCACGGTCCCAAGCCGTGCTGATAGGCCTTTCAGGTCCTCCCTTAGCGTGGCCACCTCAGCTGAGATTTTCCTGTGATGGGTGGCAATGAGCCCCCTGATGGCTTCCATGGTCACCGGTGTGGAAGTTGGGGCAGGTGGCTGTGGTCTCTCTGATTGGCATCAAGCTCCCTTCTCCTTCATCGGACGTTCCGTCTGAAAAATCGAAGCGGCCTCTGTGCAAAGACGCCATTGTTGCGCCGGCTGTCTTGTGGGCCTGCTTCCACATGTCCCCAATGTTCATGCCCAGACGGGGCTTGTCGGGCTTTTGTTTTTTTTATTTTTCTGCCCATGTGGATCAGGTGAGTTGTGGGGCACTCTGGGGGGTGGTTGGGTCATGTTAGGGTTCTGTTTGCCGCGATTTAACATGTTTGGAGTCAGGAGCTCCGCGGCCATGCGACTTTCCTCGTTCGTTGCTAGACTCCGCCGACTTTGCACTTTTAATTATGCTTTCATTAAAATAACACTCCAAGTACCATTACTACTTCAGTGCACTGTAATGCTTATTGTGCTACTAGCGCCCTTTCAGTCTAAGTAGTCAAACTGTTTGCAAATTGTTTATCAACCTACCTGGGTTCCGACACGCACCTTTCACCTCCTCCTGTGCAGCCTGAATGCTGTATCACTGAGCTAAATGTGACAGTGCAGGACTTAGTTAATTGGCTGAGAACATGCACCTCACGCTCTCAACCAGTGAGCCGGCTCTGTACTAAAGGGCGTAGCATAGGAGTGCTAATGGAAGGCTCCAGCAAAAGAGGTCATTGGTGCCTGTTAGGACCAATGTAAGTTCTCAAACTGTTCACATATGTTTTGACTACTTACACCAGGGAGGAGCCAGGGCATCGCTGGCACCATAACTACTAAAGCGATATGTTGTAGTTATGGTACTTGGAGTTTTCCTTTAATAAAACTACACTCTGACATTACACATTTCACCTGCAAAGCCACAGAGAAGGCATTTTATGTTAATTAACCTTTCCCATGATCCTCCAGTGCCCGTATTGAACCATCCCTATTTCTGTGAATATCCATGACTTACGGTGAGGCGATGAATTCCTTTAAACGTCAAAGTGCTGGCAAATTGCTGGGAATTGAAATATAATTCCAAGTTCCTTTCAAATTTGAAATCCTGACAATTCTCACTTTAGTAACTAACACCGTGTTTGTATTCAGATCGCAACATAGTCTACACTGCAGCAATTACTTTGTGTCACCTAGAAAGGGTGACTGGGTTATTCTCTCTGAATTATAGCAAGTTAAATCCAAACGGTAAAATGAATGCTAAAATAACTGATGTAGTGACATTCTCAGTTTGGCTGTTTTGGTCTCAGTTTTCCCATTCAGATTTGTTTTGTTAAAATTCTGAGTTTTGTAAATAACTGCTTGATATCTTCTAATCTCCTCTGCGCTGTGCATGGGCCGTGAAGGCAATCCATAGCACTAACAGCGAGGAGGCGGGTGATGGACGCAAGCAGCAGTGCCTGTGTGAGGTTGCAATAGCAGTCCATGCCATGACCTGTCTCCACCCTGAGTATACTGTATGTGACGTTATAGCCAAATAAAGCCAGAGGTTTAGAGATTTGTGGTTAAGAATCGATTCCTAGATGAAGGTTTGGATTCCGTGCAAAAATCAGTGAAGGTGGTCTTTAACTTTATCAGGTCATGCTGCTTCATGTTCTGTTAATTCTCAGAGTCCCGTTTTTAATTCCGTGTAAATTATTCAGTGTCTTGAAGAAATCTGGAAGACAAAGAATGCTGTATAAGAACTAAAATTTTCTCTATCCCAATATGTCTACTATGGGTGACAAAAATAAAGAAATATATATATTACCCCATTTATTCTGTCATTGTTTACTGTGTCAGCCAGGCCATTATGACAAGTGGAATAAAACTAGCCCATGGCTCCGTAATGCTACAAAATTGCTCAGACCTGTATAATTCCTATTGTACAGCGCTACAGAATTTGTTGGTGCTAAATAAATAATAACATCAAACATCTGGTATTAGCATTTGCTGTTCATTGACAATGAAGCATTGGTAATAGTAGAATGGACGGCAGTCTACTTGTAAAGGGCAGAGGACAAACAGTCTCATAACTGGGGCTTGAGCCCCATAAGATCCCCTCCATCAACACCCATGATCTGTTTGAAATTTGCTCTCTCTCAATATCAGTCTAAGCAATTAAAACAAGGAAAAATAAGACGTTTTATTTACTTTAAGTAAACATTACTTTTAAAATTCTTGGAATTAATGTGTTTATGCATTTGGGATTATCCGATTCTGTTTTCCAAGAGGACATTAGATTACTACTCTCAACAAAAAGTTGATGAAGGACTGGTTAATTTTTGGGGTGTTGTTTATTTTTAATACTTAACATATTACCCTAGAACCACGTTTGATCCATTTATTAGATATAAATTGTAACCTTTGATCCATGCTTCCTAGTCAGGAGTAGGCGGAATGGTTATAAACAAAGCTTGCTTATTGAGAACTAATGATAATTCCAAATGGATAAGGTATTAATCTGGAAAACATAGAAAATAAGAAATTGCTAATAACAACACAATGGTATGGTTTATAGATTAGCATATTTAATATTTATATAAAATCAGTATGGACATATATAAAGAGCAAAATATTTTATTGCCAATACACTGGTGAAATTGGAAATACATGCAGCCAATATATCACAGTTTGTTTCAAAGGGTTTATACATCTTATATTAATATCTGTAAAGACACTGCTGTAATTGGTGGGATTACAAAAACCTGGGCCCACCCATAATGCAAAATTCACTTTCTCAGAATGCACATACAACCCACTCACTGACACAGAGAAGGCTTTACGATCCAAAAACACATGATCTATCTACACAATGTATTAGTGTTTATACCTAAACAAGGAGTGGTAGACGAGAGTGGAAACTTTAGAACCAACTTGAAAACGTGGTTTTTGGAGAAAGTTAAAGGACCACTATAAACACACAGACCACTTCAGCTCATTGAAGTGGTCTGGGTGCCAGGTCCCCCTAGTTACACTTCAGGGTTAATCAAGCCTCTAGTGGCTGTCTCCCTGACAGCTCCTAGAGGCGCTTCAGCGATTTACACTCAGTAAATCGCACTTATTACTTGCTGGACGTCGTCACAGACCTCCAGCGTCAAAAAAGATCCCCCAGGAAAGCATTCAGTAATGGACGGGTTTGAATGTGCACGCTCCACTCGGGAGCTGACGGCGGGGGAAGAGAGGTCACCAGTGCTGAGGGAGCCCGGCGCTGGATTAAGGTAAGTGGCTGAAGGGGTTTTTACCCCTTTGGCGCCGAGGGAGGGGGACCCCGAGGGAGGAGGGCACTCCAAGAGCCCATAGTGCCAGGAAAACAGGTTTGTTTTCCTGGCACTATTGGATCCCTTTAAGGATCAGTGGGAGTTTAGAGACTGTCGTGGGCCTATAGCAGGGTGGGAGTTTGGAGAAGGTTGTTGATCAGTGGGAGGGTGGGAGTTTTATTACACTAAGATCAGTGGCAGGGTGGGAGTTTAGAGAAGGTACAGGGTGAGTAGTGGGGTGAAAGTTTGGAGAAGTTTGAAAGTGATTGGGAGGGTGGGAGCTTGGAGATCGTTGAAGGTCAGTGGGAGTTGTGGAGTTTAGAAATGTATCAAGGTGAGTGGGAGGGTGAGAGTTTAGAGAAGGTTGAGGGTGAGCATGGTAGTTTAAAGAAGGTTGAGGGTGAGTGGGAGGGTGGGAGTTTGGAGAAGGTTGAGCATAAGTGGGAGGGTGGGAATGTCACAGACTCTGGAACCAGACACACTGACAGAACACAGACACAGGAAGTGCAGTACAGGTCCTTAGAGTGGCCGGGCTGTGCACACACAGAGAGAAGTTGGAATACAAGCCAAAGTCAGAGGGAACCAGAGAGACAGAATAATCGATAAGACAAGCCAAAGTCAAGGGTCAGAGAAAGCAGGATAAACGGTGAGACAAGCCAAGATTCGTTAACCAGACAATCAAACAGAATACACGCGCTATTGGGCTATCAGAAGACCACAACAGGGCAACAAGAAACGGAAGAGGGAGATTTAAATATGATTAGGAGGCTTCTGATTGGCTAACTTTCCATTGGAATTAATTATGACACGTGGAAGGTATTTGGGCCTTCCACTTTTGATGCATCATATTTGCCCGCTGAGTCATTTGACTGACTCGGGCGCCTATTGAAGCACGCTGCACATGAGCGCGCAGCATCAGAAATGTAGCCGGAGGAATTTGCAAATCACCACAAGCAGTGAGCAGGTATGAGAAACCGCCGCGAGTGGTGGACGGCAAAGAGCCTGAAGCCACCGCTCGCGGAGGGGAGTCAGGTGGGGGTGCCGCTAGCAGCACATGGCCAGCGGAAGCCGCCCCTTGCGGAAAGCCAGCACTGGTCCTGACAGGGATATTTGAGACCGTTAAGGTAAGTGGCAAGTTGGAAGTTTGGAGAAGGTTGTGTATCAATGGGAGGATGGGAGTTTAGAGAATGTTGAGTTTGTGTGGGAGGGAAGAGTTTGGAAAAGGGTGAGTGGGAGTGCGGGTGTTTGCAGAAGGTTGAGGGTAAATGTGGGAGTTTGGAGAAGGTTGAGCATGAGTGGGTGGGTGGGATATTTGAGACCATTAAGGTCAGTGGCAAGGTGAACATTTGGAGGAGGTTGTGTATCAATGGGAGGGTGGGAGTTTAGAGAAGGTGGAAGTTGAGTGGCAGTGTGGGCATTTGAAGACCTTTGAAGATTGGTGGGAGTTGTGGAGTTTGGAAATGTTTAGAGTGAGTAGGAGGGTGGGAGTTTTGAGAAGGTTGTGGATCAGTGGGAGTTTGGAGAAGGTTGAGTTTCAGTGGGAGGGTGTGAGTTTGGAGAAGGTTGAAGGTTAGTGGGAGGGTGGGAGTTTACAGAAGGTCGAGGGTGAGTGGGAGGGAGGGTGGTTGCAGAAGGTTGAGGGTGAGTGGGAGCGTGGGAGTTTGGAGAAGGTTGAGTGTGAGTGTGAGGTTGGGAGATTGGAAATGCTAAAGGTGCACAAGGTTCCCTTATAAGTTTTAGATCTGGTGGAGGCTTACACTGCCATTAAAGCTGGAGGACTGGATTCATATCTGAGCCTGGGAAAGACTAGGAGAGGTCTGTGGAAGGTTGGATTTCAGAGCCAGATTGCAGTTGCCCAGAACCCTAGGCAGGTATATTCAATTGAATGCAGTGAGTATACTGAAGACTGGCAGAATATATAGGGCTGTTAGTATATGGAGGGCTGGCAGAATATATGGGGCTGTTAGTATACGGAGGGCTGGCAGTATAAAGATGGCTGTTAGTTTATAGAGGGCTGGCAGTATATAGACGGCTGTTAGTATACGTAGGGTTGGCAGTATATAGATGGCTGTTAGTATACAGAGGGCTGGCAGTATATAGACGGCTGTTAGTATACAGAGGACTGGGCTGGCAGTATATAGGCGGCTGTTAGTATACAGAGGGCTGGCAGTATATAGATGGCTGTTAATATACAGAGGATTGGGCTGGCAGTCTATAGATGGCTGTTAGTATACAGAGGGCTGGCAGTATATAGACGGCTGTTAGTATACAGAGGGCTGGCAGTATATAGACTGCTGTTAGTATACAGAGGGCTGGCAGTATATAGATGGCTGTTAATATACAGAGGACTCGGCTGGCAGTATATAGATGGCTGTTAGTATACATAGGGCTGGCAGTATATAGACGGCTGTTAGTATACAGAGGGCTGGCAGTATATAGACGGCTGTTAGTATATAGAAGGCTGACAGTATATAGACGGTTGTTTGTATACGGAGGGCCGGCAGTATAAAGACAGCTGTTAGTTTATAGAGGGTTGGCAGTATATAGATGGCTGTTAGTATACAGGGGGCTGGCAGTATATAGACGGCTGTTTGTATATGGAGGGCCGGCAGTATAAAGACGGCTGTTAGTATACAGAGGGCTGGCAGTATATAGACGGCTGTTTGTATATGGAGGGCCGGCAGTATAAAGACGGCTGTTAGTATACAGAGGGCTGGCAGTATATAGATGGCTGTTAGTTTATAGAGGGCTGGCAGTATATCGACGGCTGTTAGTTTATAGAGGGTTGGCAGTATAAAGACGGCTGTTAGTATACAGAGGGGTGGCAGTGTATAGATGGCTGTTAGTTTATAGAAGGCTGGCAGTATATAGACGGCTGTTAGTATACAGAGGCTGGCAGTATATAGACGGCTGTTAGTATACAGAGGGTTGGCAGTATATAGACGGCTGTTAGTATACAGAGGGTTGGCAGTATATATACGGCTGTTAGTATACAGAGGGCTGGCAGTATATAGACGGCTGTTAGTATACAGAGGGCTGGCAGTATATAGACGGCTGTTAGTATACAGAGGGCTGGCAGTATATAGATGGCTGTTAGTATACAGAGGGCTGGCAGTATATAGACGCTGTTAGTTTATAGAGGGTTGGCAGTATAAAGACGGCTGTTAGTATACAGAGGGCTGGCAGTATATAGACGGCTGTTAGTATACAGAGGGCTGGCAGTATAAAGACGGCTGTTAGTATACAGAGGGCTGGCAGTATATAGACGGCTGTTTGTATATGGAGGGCCGGCAGTATAAAGACGGCTGTTAGTATACAGAGGGCTGGCAGTATATAGATGGCTGTTAGTTTATAGAGGGCTGGCAGTATATCGACGGCTGTTAGTTTATAGAGGGTTGGCAGTATAAAGACGGCTGTTAGTATACAGAGGGGTGGCAGTGTATAGATGGCTGTTAGTTTATAGAAGGCTGGCAGTATATAGACGGCTGTTAGTATACAGAGGCTGGCAGTATATAGACGGCTGTTAGTATACAGAGGGTTGGCAGTATATAGACGGCTGTTAGTATACAGAGGGTTGGCAGTATATATACGGCTGTTAGTATACAGAGGGCTGGCAGTATATAGACGGCTGTTAGTATACAGAGGGCTGGCAGTATATAGACGGCTGTTAGTATACAGAGGGCTGGCAGTATATAGACGGCTGTTAGTATACTCAAGGCTGTATCTAACACATGCTTTCTATGTTGCAGCGTGCAGCCAGTGGATGAAAACTTGTTTTTTCTCCATAATATACATGTGACTCTGGCTTTTTAAAGACTTCTCCTGGAAATGTTTTGGCAGGAAAGAGGCTCTTTCCCCTTTATCGCTGTATCATTTCAGTCATGCTAGTTTTTATAGATCACATTCCAAAATATTCCATTATACTTGGGATTAAAAGCAGCTGTTGCAGCACATTGTGCACCTGAAAAATACAAGATAAATTGGGATTTTAGGGATACAATACAATGGACGTTCTTTATTAATGAGCTTGTCCTAAGTTTAACCCCCTCATTACCAACTGTCTGTATATTCTGCTGACAGTAGTACACCATCATATGCTAAAGTCAGCTTTATGCAGGATGTATGTGATGCACAAAATGATGTTCTATTAAGAATTATAAATGGTTTCTGCTCTCCGGATGTCACGCTGTCCCGGTGTCTCCGTACATGGTGTGTGTAATACTCGCAGTGACTGCGAAATCTTATTACAAACAAACTAGAAGGAAAAATGGGGCAAAACCAACCCAAGGCGGTGAGTTTCTGTTAATACAGCATGACGGACCTGGAACTTGTGTGAGTTGTGTCATAACCAGTGGTTACCTGTGGCAGCTGGCAATAACCATTATTGAACAGATTCTTGGTTATAACCAGGCAGCGGTACTTACTGTATGTGGGCATTATGGCTAAATGATATACTTCTCGCAAGAACTTACTGTTCTCGCAAGAACAAACAGGCCGATTAATGACAGTTTCTATGGCTGTCTACCAGCAGTTAACTGTCATATTTTGAAGCGTTAAAACTTCTTGTAATTAGTGGCTCTCATATGTTTTAGTGTCTCTGTTGGCAATTAATAGGAGACGCTAAATGCTAAGTCAAAATTAGATGGGAAAATGATTACACCCTTGTAATTTGCTCAACTTTACATCTCCTTTACACTTACCACAGCTTCACCTACTATAACTTTACACCTTCTACAGCTTTACCTACTACAACGTTACACCTTCTACAACTTTACATCTCCTTTACACTTACTACAACTTTACACCTACTACACGTTCAGCTACTACAGCTTCACCTAATACAACTTTACACCTTATACAGCTATACACCTAGTACAGGTTCACCTACTATAGATTTACACATTACTGATTACTGTTTCTATAGTGTCAGTTCTTCCATAGTGCCAGTGCCTTAACGCTTCCAGTCCTTCTATAGTGTCAGCCCTTCCATAGTGCCAGTGCCTTAATGTTTCCAGTACCTCTATAGTGTCAATTCTTCCATAGTGCCAGTGCCTTAACACTTCCAGTGCTTCTATAATGCCAGTGCTTTAACGCTTCCAGTCCCTATAGTGTCAGTTCTTCCATAGTGCCAGTACCTAAACGCTTCCAGGTCTTCCATAGTGCCAGTGCCTTAACGCTTCCAGTTCTTTCATAGTGCCAGTGCCTTAACGCTTCCATTCCTTCTATAGTGTCAGTTTTTCCATAGTGCCAGTGCCTTAACGCTTCCAGTGTTTCTGTAGTGTCATTTCTTCCATAGTGCCAGTGCCTTAACGCTTCCTGTCCTTCTATAGTGCCAGTTCTTCCATAGTGCCAGTGCCTTAACGCTTCCAGTCCTTCTATAGTGTCAGTCCTTCCATAGTGCAAGTGCCTTAATGCTTCCAGTCCTTCCATAGTGCCAGTTCTTCCATAGTGCCAGTGCCTTAACGCTTCCAGTGTTTCTATGGTGTCAGTTCTTCCATAGTGCCAGTGTCTTAACGCTTCCAGTTCTTCTATAGTGTCAGTTCTTCCATAGTGCCAGTACCTTAATGCTTCCAGTGTTTCCATAGTGTCAGTTCTTCCATAGCGCCAGTGCTTTAACGCTTCCAGTTCATCTATAGTGCCAGTCCTTCCATAGTTCCAGTGCCTTAACGCTTCCAGTGCTCCTATAGTGTCAGTTCTTCCATAGTTCCAGTCATTCTATAGTGCCAGTTCTTCCATAGTGCCAGTGCCTTAATGCTTCCAGTGTTTCTATAGTGCCAGTTCTTTCATAGTTCCAGTGCCTTAACGCTTCCAGTCCTTCCATAGTGCCAGTGCCTTAATGCTTCCAGTCCTTCTATAGTGTCAGTTCTTCCATAGTGCCAGTGCCTTAATGCTTCCAGTCATTCTATAGTGTCAGTTCTTCCATAGTGCCAGTGCCTTAACACTTCCAGTGCTTCTATAATGCCAGTGCTTTAACGCTTCCAGTCCCTATAGTGTCAGTTCTTCCATAGTGCCAGTACCTAAACGCTTCCAGGTCTTCCATAGTGCCAGTGCCTTAACGCTTCCAGTTCTTTCATAGTGCCAGTGCCTTAACGCTTCCATTCCTTCTATAGTGTCAGTTTTTCCATAGTGCCAGTGCCTTAACGCTTCCAGTGTTTCTGTAGTGTCAGTTCTTCCATAGTGTCAGTGCCTTAACGCTTCCAGTGTTTCTATGGTGTCATTTCTTCCATAGTGCCAGTGCCTTAACACTTCTGGTCCTTCTATAGTGTCAGTTCTTCCATAGTGCCCGTGCCTTAACGCTTCCTGTCCTTCTATAGTGCCAGTTCTTCCATAGTGCCAGTGCCTTAACGCTTCCAGTCCTTCTATAGTGTCAGTCCTTCCATAGTGCAAGTGCCTTAATGCTTCCAGTCCTTCCATAGTGCCAGTTCTTCCATAGTGCCAGTGCCTTAACGCTTCCAGTGTTTCTATGGTGTCAGTTCTTCCATAGTGCCAGTGTCTTAACGCTTCCAGTTCTTCTATAGTGTCAGTTCTTCCATAGTGCCAGTACCTTAATGCTTCCAGTGTTTCCATAGTGTCAGTTCTTCCATAGCGCCAGTGCTTTAACGCTTCCAGTTCATCTATAGTGCCAGTCCTTCCATAGTTCCAGTGCCTTAACGCTTCCAGTGCTCCTATAGTGTCAGTTCTTCCATAGTTCCAGTCATTCTATAGTGCCAGTTCTTCCATAGTGCCAGTGCCTTAATGCTTCCAGTGTTTCTATAGTGCCAGTTCTTTCATAGTTCCAGTGCCTTAACGCTTCCAGTCCTTCCATAGTGCCAGTGCCTTAATGCTTCCAGTCATTCTATAGTGTCAGTTCTTCCATAGTGCCAGTGCCTTAAAGCTTCCAGTGCTTCAATAGTGTCAATCCTTCCATAGTGCCAGTGCCTTAGCACTTCCAGTCCTTCTATAGTGTCAGTCCTTCCATAGTGCCAGTGCCTTAACGCTTCCAGTCATTCTATAGTGTCAGTCCTTCCATAGTACCAGTGCCTTAACGCTTCCAGTCCTTCTATAGTGTCAGTCCTTCCATAGTGCCAGTGCCTTAACACTTCCAGTCATTCTATAGTGCCAGTTCTTCCATAGTGCCAGTGCCTTAACGCTTCCAGTCATTCTATAGTGTCAGTTCTTCCATAGTGCCAGTGCCTCCATGCTACTTGTGTATTGGTATGACAGATGTTTATACAGATGTTTTGGTGCAGATATACATTTTCCATTATATTCTCAGTTGGGGAGAGGGGGCTACATTTGTTTCTTGCATATAATGGCATTCCACAGGAAAGGATTTGATGGCACTTTGGTTGGAAAGATGCAGCTGGGTGCAGGAAGGTTGCCGTGAGCTCTTGACTTGGCATAGATGGAGAGAAGGCAGAGTGGCACACGTCCAGTCCCCTCTCCCTCCTTTTAGCTGCTATCCTGGCGGTTTGGGTTTAGAGTTTCACATTCATCTCCCAGGGACGGCTCTGTCTCCACTTCCTGTCTTTGCAATTTTTTTCTCAGCTTCCAAAAATTTGTTTCAGGCACGGAGATCACAGCCGAGCTGCAAGGGGAGAAGTCTGAGGAGAAACTCACCGTCCACTCCAAACTCCTCGTTCTCCGACACTCTGGATGAGCACTCTCCGTGGTACGTACCCAACTCATTGATTCAAATATTGCTGGAGATGTAAAATTACTGCAAGATCTAACAGAAGCAGCGAATGGGGATAATTCTTAATACGGAGAGAGGAGACAGAAGAACAAAAAAACCCCTTTTATCTACAGACACAAGGGGATAATTTCATATTCAGTGAAAGATGGACAGGAATGTTACTTTATCTAATAAGCAGTAGAGACCTGGATTAGCCTTCCTGTGGAAGCAGTAATAGCTAACAGTGATACAGAAAGGGTAGTAGATACCTGGAATATCCTTCCAGTGGAAGCGAGAATGGTTAACAGTGATATAGAGAAATGGTAGTAGATACTGGGAGTAGACTTCCAGTGGAAGTGGTAAAGGCTAACAGTGATATAGAAAGGGTAGTAAATACCTGGACTATCCTTCCAGTGGAAGCAGTAATGGCTAACAGTGATATAGAAAGGGTAGTAAATACCTGGACTATCCTTCCAGTGGAAGCAGTAATGGCTAACAGTGATATAGAAAGGGTAGTAGATACTTGCAACAGCCTGCCAGTGGAAGCGGTAAAGACTAACAGTGATATAGAAAGGGTAGTAGATACCTGGAATAGCCTTCCAGTGCAGTTTGGAAAGACTAACAGTGATATAGAATAGGCAGTAGATACCTAGAATAACCTTCCAGTGGAAGCAGTAAAGGCTAACAGTTATATAGAAAGGGTTGTAGGTACATGGAATAGCCTTCCAGTGGAAGCAGTAATGAGTAATGATGATATAGAAAGGGTAGTAGATACCTGGAATAGCCTTCCAGTGGATGCTGTAAAAGCTGACACTGGAAAGTTAAAATGGGTAAGATAATGTAGCAGATGAAAAATTACCTATAATTAATTATTCATGACAGAGGGTCCTAGAGATGAATTTGTTGATTTCATCTGACAGTCTGTGGAACTTTTAGTCCGCCCACGAAAGCACAGCATGTGAAAATGTAACTATGCACCAAGCACGTACAAAACATGCACCAAACCTGCACAAATCGTGAACTAACCGTGCACAAGCCATGCACAAACAGTGCAACAACCATGCATGATTGTGAAAACCTGGTGAATGATTGGTGCATTACATGGGCATGCTTGGTGCATAACTGCTGCATTGTTAATGCATGACTGGGGCATGCTAGGTGTGGGATTTCTGCATGGTGGGTAAACTGTTTTTGCACTAGCCATGCACTAACTTCTGCAATACAAGGTATCAGTGTGGGTAATACAAAGTATCACATTATATAATATAAGGTATCGGACTGGTATACAAAGTATCAGACGGCAATACAACAAATCAGACTGCAATCCATTGTATCAGACAGTGTAATACAATGTATCAGACTGTAATACACTGTACCAGCCTGTGTAATACAATGTATCAGACTGCAATACAATGTATCAGACCGTATAACTGTGATACAATGTATGAGACTGTAATACAAAGTAGGTATCGACTGTGTTATAGAAAGTATCCAACTGTGTTATAGAAAGTATCCAACTGCGTTATATAAAGTAGCAGACTGTGTAATATAAGGTCAACAAATTGATTTTTTAAATCTATACTTAATGTATTATTCTTAATGTGGGGAAAAACTTTGTGATGTGTTCAGATAATTATTATTGATGGAGTGAACTCTGGGCTCCAGAGCTTACAATTTAATTTAACATATGAGAATATCATGTGGCTCTGTTAATTGATTAATGCTTGATTGGGAAATGACAGAGATGGCCAGAGTGAGCACCATTTGCTTTTATTCCAGACTGTGAGCTATGCACTGCCAAGACACCTATACCTAATTAATAGATCTCTACCTGATCAATACACCTATACAGGATGAATACATCTATATCTGATCAATACACCAGTACCTGGCCAATATGTCTATATCCAAGTCATACACCTGTATCTGATCAATACATCTATATCTGATCAACACAACTGTACCTGATCAACACACCTATACCTGATCAATACATTTGTATCTAAATAATACACTTGTATGATATTTATACACCCTTATCTGATCAATACACCTGCACCTGATCAATACATCTATATCTGATCAATACACCAGCATTGTATTAATACACCTGTATCTGATCAATACACCAGCATTGTATAAATACACCCGTATCTGATCAATACACCTGTATCTGATCACTATACCTGTGCCTTATTAACACACCTGTATTTGATCAATATGTCTACATCTGATGAGTGCTCCTGCGTCTGATTCACATGGATGGAATGTTTTGCTGACATCTGCTTTTTCAATTTTTGTAATCGGGAATGTCTGTGAAATGGGTAAAAACCACTAAATACTCACCAGTTCTGTGCTATTTTATTAGTGTTATTACGTTCTGGAGAGATTCTCACAGGGTTATTCACTTAAGTGAGAATTTCCAGGAATTCAAAGATTAATATTTAAGGTTAAAATAGCCAAAATGAAAACAGAATTTACTTGGAGAATTGTTCTGATTTGCTTAATTTCAGCTAAATTTTTAGTTTAATTTCACTTTGGAAATTGAGAAGTTCTCTCTTTAATGAATAAACCCTGTCAGAATAAATGTACAAATTCCCAGGGTGAACTGATAGATTGTCAAGGTGAATGGGCAGATTCTTAGATTCTCAGTGTAAATGGGCGGATTCTTCGATTTTCAGTGTAAATGGGCAGATTCTTAGTGTCTTAGTGTAAATGGGCAGATTCTTAGATTCTCAGTGTAAATGGGCAGATTCTTAGTGTCTTAGTGTAAATGGACAGATTCTTAGATTCTCAGTGTAAATGGGCAGATTCTTAGTGTCTTAGTGTAAATGGG